TGTTTCGCTGAAAAAAAAAAAAAAAAAAAAAAAAAAAAAAAGGATTCAAAAGAAATGAACAAGATTGAAGTTTAAGTTACACAATACAAAAGTACAAGAGACCTGGATTTGTCTTTTTCATTAACTATTAACAAAAAGGCCTTAAATGTAGGATGTTAATGAATCTTCAGAGTGATCAACTGCAACACAGTTACACCTGTGAAAACTAATAAACATGACCCCCCCCCGCCCAAAAAAACAAAAAAAGCAATCACACAATCAAAATATTAACAAAAAATATAATAGTATATCAATAATACTAAAATATAACTGACTGATAACACCAGGGTTATTACAGTTAAAACCATTTGTTTTGATGGAAATAAAATAAAATACATTTTAAAAATCATTATTTTTTTATGATATACAGTGGGTACGGAAAGTATTCAGACCCCCTTAAAACAAGACAATGACCCTAAGCACACAGCTAAAATAACGAAGGAGTGGCTTCACAGCAAGTCTGTGACTGTTCTTGAATGGCCCAGCCAGAGCCCTGACTTAAACCCAATTGAGCATCTCTGGAGAGACCTAAAAATGGCTGTCCACCAACGTTTACCATCCAACCTGACAGAACTGGAGAGGATCTGCAAGGAGGAATGGCAGAGGATCCCCAAATCCAGGTGTGAAAAACTTGTTGCATCTTTCCCAAAAAGACTCATGGCTGTATTAGATCAAAAGGGTGCTTCTACTAAATACTGAGCAAAGGGTCTGAATACTTAGGACCATGTGATATTTCAGTTTTTCTTTTTTAATAAATCTGCAAAAATGTCAACAATTCTGTGTTTTTCTGTCAATATGGGGTGCTGTGTGTACATTAATGAGGAAAAAAAATTAACTTAAATGATTTTAGCAAATGGCTGCAATATAACAAAGAGTGAAAAATTTAAGGGGGTCTGAATACTTTCCGTACCCACTGTATATTAAAAAATAAATAAATAATTTTAGTTAGTTGCCAAGGAAATATTTCTCACTTTCATCTAGTTTGACTTGAGCAACTAAAATAGCTAAATACTAAAATCTAAAATAAAAGTAATAAAGTGTATATATATGTATACAACTGTAAGCTATATAATTAAAAACAACAAAAACACAACTAAAAGTAAAATGGAATATTTAAAAAAAAATTATGGAAGCAAAGATACTAAATGATACTAATAACACTGCATAACACGTCACTAATATGAAAATGTATTTATACCACTGCTCCTGGTGTTATATTGAAAAAGTACCAGATCACTGAGAATCTATTGTAAATTAACTGTTTTTTTGCAGACAGACAGATCTTACCTGATTACTGTGCTGCTTCCTGATTCCTGTTCCTGTAACTCAATTAAACACACATGACTTTGGTTAACTACAATAAAAACACACATTTTCACATCTGTTAAGATTATTTTCACACAATAAATCACAATTTTGCATCTTATAAAAACATCTGTATGTAATGCTCACCATATTCCCCTGCTTGAGGATGCTTGCGATAGTAAATCACACCACCAGCAGCTGCAGCCACGAACAACATAACAGCACCAACACATATTCCTGCTACAGCAGCTGTAGACGGACCTGAATCTGAAACAGATAAATACAGATCTAGTCATTATTACTAGAGAGTGAATGATAATCCAACCAGTATTTAACAATACTTCTCTACATATTTCTACTTTGGTCATCAGTTGTATGATACTGATTTAACTAAATGGCATCACCTGGTAGTTTTTTTTTTTTTAGAAACAAAGGCTAAAACAGCACTGTGAGCTGAGAAAAATTACTAATTTTATAGCTTTTTTATGTAGATAACATCTACATTATCTCCCGTCACTGTCTTTACATAGATATACTGTATCTGGGATCTCCAGTGATTTCAGCAGTGTCATTAAAATACCATGTTATTACTTTACCAGATTCTTCCTCCTTCACTGACTTTCCCTTCATTTCATCTCGTTCGGCAGCAGAAACACCTGAAACACAAACCAACAGCTGCTGAAGCATCTTTCTGGAGAGAAAACGCTACATCAAGATAGCAGATCTGCAGATCATAATACAAGAAATATAAGTGAAAAATGACTTCACATGCTGTTACTTTCTTGACTTTGTCTAAAAAGTAACATTTATCAATATTTCGTACTTGCAAAACACAAACTTCTAGGAGAACTAATAATTATTCATGATAGATGCATTTAAACAGATAGGAAAAGATGATCAGGCATTAAATGATGAGAAATTGTCATCTGATAAACCTATTGAATGACCAACTAAAAAATATTAGTTTTAAATCATTCTGTTCTGTTCGATGATGCAGGTAAAGAAAAAAAATGCCACTGCAACAATAAACACAATGATGTGATTAACTCATATAACCTGGTTTTAAACATTCATGAAATGACTCACCATGAACAGTAACATTGAAGATCTTTTCAGAGTCACTGCCACTGTTGATGATCTCTAGATGATAGAGTCCAGAGTCTGTGGTTCTGGTGTTTGTGATGGTCAGAGATCCAGTCTGATGATCCAGCTTCAGTCTGTCTCTGAATCTCTCAGTACCTTTATTACACTGAACATCTGTACAGATATAATGGAGAACTACATTGATATGTGCGATGCGAGTGCTGTTGAAATACCATTTAATATCTTCTTGTTGGTTTGTTGTAACATCAGTGTCTAGAGTGACTGGATCTCCCTCCATCACAAACACTTCATCTACACCAACAACATAAACACCTGGAGAAGAAATTTACAATTAATTAAATCAGTCTGCACCTGACCTGACATATTCTTGATGTTTTATATTAAGTAGGCCTATTGCATTTCGACTAGAATATAACGTTTACATTTCTTTCACTATTAAAGTCAAATAAGAAATCAAATCACATGTTTCCAAAGTCTACGAGACAATAACGATAAAAACAATGGGGAAATAATGTTATTACATTCATCAAACAAGACATCAGCTAGTCTCTGACTACATGTAGGCTACATGTTTTTACTATAGTAACGGTATGTAATCTACTTTTCCTATAATAAATACATAGTTAATTTTCATAATAGGCAAACAAAGGTAACAGGTTAACAAGGGCATATTTCATCGATTCAACCAGCTGCGCAATGTCACAAAATCCTGACTTCCATCCAAAAATCTGCGGTTGACCCTTACGAAAATTAACCAAGCTTTATTGTAGTAAAACATGCTTTAAACCGTAACATGGCCGCTAGACTAGTCCATCATCAATCCGTGAATTTGCACATCTAAAACTATAACATGTTTTCAGCATCGTTGTCTGTTGAGCGTAAAATCACAAGAACTGACACAAAGAAAAAGAGATCGTAACACGTCTTACCAATAAGCACGACCAAAACACACAACTTCCACAAAAGTATAGAATTCATTTTCATCACTCTTCGTCTGGAAAAAAGAAAGAAAATTAATTCAATGGAACGAAAAGCAAGCCAAATCTACGAAACGAAAGTAAAAGTGTGCAGCGCTTCTGTGTACGACATCAAAGTATCGCGAGAGCGATTAGAGAGCAGACGGCTCTCGCGGTACTTGATGTCATACATGGTGGAAAACACCTACAAAACGTATAGTCTTTTTTTTGGTTGTTGTTGTTGTTGTGCGGTCGATTGCTGATGCCGAAAGGAGGGTCTGGCTCACTACCTCTCAGCAGATGACGCTGTTTTACAGTCCAAGCCTAGTAAACGGGCAAATTAAATATAAATGCAAGTGCATTTATTGAATCATAAAAACTGATGTTATAAGGACTGTCATCAGACAATAAAGCACCAATATACTCTACAGTAACAAAGTTGCCAAAATCAGTGTTATGGGCAAACCATAGACTAAAGAAGTACGAATTCCTGAATGGAGTGTGGAAGTGAATGGAGTTAGAAAAAAAGGGGGGGAAAGATGGTGTGTATTCGGGTAGAGTGATATAATAGTGAAAACACGTTTTTCACAAATATATTTGAAAAACAGTTAGTCAATGAGCTGAAGAAAACAATTAATTTCTCTTTACGAATGTCTACTTAAAATATCTAGCATCACTCCATTGAACAAAATGATATACTATACACTGCACACTTACACTATACACTATGTATCCAGTGTATGTATTTTTAGTGGAGCATTTGTAATTTCACATTTGATAATGTGAAATAAGACAGCCAACGTAATGTGTTGCTGCCAGTTTTAGCATATTTAGCCCCTCCACTTCTACTACAGGGAAAGTTGTGACCAATGAGCACATAAAGATGAACATCACAACATTACAATTATTTCTCTCTGCATTTTTTTAGTGTGAACTCCACTACACACCTACAGGCAAAATTGTATAAACTGCAAAAATGGTCACTGAACCAGTCAGTAAATTCTGACTGGTGACTAAATTATGCCTGTTTTGTGACCACATCTCTGTTTTGCCTTGGCTATTATATTGCTGGTGATCGACACCTGCCTGTTTGTATTACTGCTTATACTTTGAATAAAGCACTATGGATCCCAACTCCGCTGACTTTTTGTTAAAGTAGCAGCATTTTGTTTAGTTCATTGGTGTGTTATATTTATTGTTGAGAGATGTTCAGCTGTCAATCTGTGTAGTTTAATTATAATTGGTAAGAATTTATTGTTCTGTAAGGGGATCAACTGCGAGGTTCATAGTTGCAGAAAAGGAAGAAGCTCTTCACCTACAAACTAAGCACAGATCAAACGATGCAGTTTGTCCACGGATCAAATCACACTTCAGACCGCAGCAGGTTTCAGTTTGATTCTGTGGAGCTGTTTGTGTCACACCTCAGTACAACAGACAAAGAGAGATGGCTTTTTTTTTTCTTTTTTGTTACCATTTGTAACAATTAAATTATAAAACCATTTAATTTGACATTGACTATTCTAATTTTGCAATTTTCCTCTCTTCTTCTTTAACATATTTAATTGTCAGAAAGCTACATTTAATATTTTATATTTGATACTTGTTAAATGATAAAACTGAAGAATGTTTTCCACTATTAAAACCAATTAAAGTCTGAATAAGTGCCAGAAGATAATTTATAAATTATATATCATGTGAAAAGAGTGTATGCATTTCACACACTAGGAGTGTCAAGCTCTATCGTGGGAGGATTCACACGCCACACGAAGAGACTGAGAGTCTCTAGATTTTACTATACAACTGAAGAAAATTGTTTGCACTTTTGTTTTGTTCTCTTTGTGCTGGTGGCGTTTGACTGGTAAGTTATAAATCATGTTTATGGCTTTATTTATTCCTGTTTCAGAGAAATAAAGCTGCTGCTACTCTTCAAATTTGATTTTCATTTGCTGTTCTTCTCAGACACGTCAAATCATTATGATTGTGAGGTATTATTAGTTCTCACAACAATCTGTACAGATTGAGGTGTCAGTTCACATTTAGATACAAAGCTAAAATTGATGTCTGGTTCTGTAAACCAACAAAAGTCTTCATTTGTTCCTGTTTGTTCATCAGGTGTGTTTGGTGAGTCAGTGTCAGTGATGGAAGGAGATTATGTCACTTTACACACTGATGTTACTGCAATACATGAGGATGAAGACATACTGTGGAAATTTGGAAATGAAAAGTCTCTCATAGCTCAAATCAATAGAGAGAACCAAATCTTCCCTGATGGGAGATTCAGAGACAGACTGAAGCTGAACAGACAGACTGGATCTCTGAACATCACAAACATCACAACTCAACACACTGGACTCTATGAAGTAAAGATTAGTGGAGCAAGACAGTCAACAAAATCATTCAGTGTTTCTGTCTATGGTGAGTAAAAAGCTCATTTGTTCTTGTTTTATTAACGCAATGTATCAGGTTAACTATAAGTTAAGCTCAATCAACAGCATAATGTTGATACAAAAAAAATTATTCATTTCCATTGTGTCACATTTTTGCAAATTGATTTTTTTCTTCTTCTGGTAATCATTATGCAGTAAATGATGCTTAAATGCTAAACTGAGCTTAACATGTACTGAACCTCTAAAATGTCTTTAACTACTTACATATTGAAATGTTTAATCATTTTATAGTTTGAGATGATGGAAACACTCACTGACCGTCACACTACACTGAAAAGAAGATTGTTGACTAGATTTACCCATATTTGTTCGCATGTTTTCCAGCTCGTCTGCGCACACCTAATATTACCAGAGATTCTTCTCAAAATCTTTCAACATTATCATCATCATCATCATCATCATATTGTTCATTGGTGTGTTCAGTGGTGAATGTGGGTCATGTGACTCTCTCCTGGTACAAAGGAAACAGTTTATTGTCCAGCATCAGTGTGTCTGATCTCAGCATCAGTCTCTCTCTACCTCTGGAGGTGGAATATCAGGATAAAAACACCTACAGCTGTGTGCTCAACAATCCCATCAACAACCAGACCAGACGTCTTAATATCACTCAAATCTGTCATATTCGCTCAGGTACAATAGTGGTGATAGTAATGATTATTTATTAGGCTGAACTCTGCTTTTAACATTAAAATATACAATCATTAAAGGGATAGTTCACCCAAAAATGAAAATTAGCCCATGATTTACTAACCCTCAAGCCATCCTAGGTGTAACGGCTCCTGAAGGTTTTCTTCTGATTAAAAGAACCATGCTTCAACTGATGTCTTAACGTTTAATGTCTTCTTTGCAATGAGTATAAGTATCGGCGTCATCTCCATCTTACTGCAGTCACGCCATCTGCGCTTCGGAAAAGTGCGGTCACGCCATCTACGCTTAAAAATTTGTTGTGCGTCTACATGGCGTTGCGTGGTAGTGATGGCCATACAGCTTCCAAACCACTGCAAATCTTTTTTTTTTTTTTTAAGAGTGGGTCTGAGCGTGTATCAAACTGAAACCACAGTCAATTAATCGTTAATAATAGGCTAATTAAAAACACATCACACATGCACTTCTTATTTAATGGTATTCTATTGTTTAATTGTATGTAATGTATTAAACTTTCAATAAAACATTTGCAATGGGTTTGTAAAATGTTTTTGTAAAATGTTTTATGCATGTTTTGGCCTGAGACACTTGATGTTGGAATTGAATATTCAAAATTAATTAAAAAAAAATTGTTTTCTGCAAATTGTTCTACATCTCCCCAAGTACCACAGTGGTAAATTTGATGTTGCTTTACTGTATCATTTTTTAATAATTGCATGCAAAATTCATGAGTAATCCTATTTACCTTGCTATACGGACACATTTTAAAAAATCATAAAAAAAGGAAATCAAATTGTTTTCTGCAAACTCCACCAGATTCTTGTTCTTCATCTCCCCAGGTACCACTGTGGTGATTGTCATGTCACTTTACTGTATAATTTTTTAA